CCCCGCCTCGCCCCGCCCCGCTGCAGGACCCGGCGGCCCAGGACCCCTGGCCCTCCTGGTCGGTCCTGCCCGGGTTGCAGGAGGAGGTTGGCCTGCACCAGATCAACGACCTGCACCAAATTTTAACAAAACTCTTTCTGGATGCGCGGCTGGAACGGAACGGCAGGAAAGGGAACCGGTCCTGCCAGACCCCGTCCGGGCAGAGCAAGAGCAGAGGGCATCTCGAAAGGAGGAGTTCGATTACTGCGGATTACGGTAGTAAGGGTTCTCGACTTGCACGATGCGGCCGGCAGGGACTGGTGGTCCACCCACGGAGCACTGCCCCCCCCCACCCCCCTCACACTCACACACGTGTGTGCCAGGGTATGGACTCATCACAGCGCCATTGTGGCTCCGGGTGGTCTCCTTTGTGTCGGCTCAGCACCTCCTCATCCTCGCCGTGCTTCATTTCGTGTGGAGCACCACCACTTTCTATTCGTCACATGGGAGCCGGGCTGCTGGCTGAGGTCACAGCAGACGCCACACATTTTTTTCCCCTGCTTCGAGTTTGTGTACCTCGCGCGCGGGGCGGAGTGGCAGGCAAGGCCCCTCAGGCATTGTGGGGGCGGTCCACCATGGGAAAACATTTGCGCGTCCCTGCGCGGCAGTGCGCGGCAGCGCGTGGCGCCTGCAGGACCCTCGCGGCCACGCGCCAGCCGCCCCGAAAAGTAGTGAAACAGCTGACCGAGCAACTAAACTGCCAAAAAGGAAAGAAATCGGTGGGGCTGGACCATTTACATTTGTTTCTTTGCAGTTCGCACTGCAAAAAAATTTAACAGGTAATGCGGCTAATTCATTTTCCAGAAACGTCTGTTATTCGAATAACAGCATCGCTGTAGTTTTAATGGTTAAAATTTGGTACAGGGAGCAATGTACAGGACCACTGTACAGGCAAAAGCGAACAAAACTGTCTACAGTGGAGGCGTCTTCGTACACTGTACCGTGTAAAACCTGGGCTTTCCGGTGCTACAGCAACACTGTACTCCGCGTTCTGTACCCTAGGTGCAGTGGCTCAGAGCGGCATCTAAGTAACGCTGTAGATCGTTCCGTATCAGACTCTAATTTTTTGAAGTGCGCGAGGTCGGGTAAAGGATTTTTGTCATTGTCCTTTCATTTAGTTTATGGCTAATGTGAACTTTTATAATCAATGGAGGATTGCATCAGGGTCATTTTGGCTATTAAAACGTATACTTGAGGATTATTTTTCCCTTACCAATTAGATTCCCTTTAATTAAGGGGGCAAAAACTTGTGGGTATTTTCAAGAAAACGATTTTTCGGGTCCAAAGCGATGGGAAGACCCGTGCTCTCTTCCCCAAAGTACCGTAATAGAATGTACCATACACTCCCTGGGAATGACGTTGTTTGTGTCCGACCCCTTGGGGGACCGCGGGGTGGAGCGTGTCATTGGTTAGCGCGGCAAACGTCTCGAGCTCTGATCACAAGTAATCTCTCATTGGCTCGGCCGTTGCATTGGCCGCCGCATCATCAACTCGACTTTCCCGATCACAATGAGGTAACTCACGCCTCTTGACAGCTGCGGTGAGCGTCGTAATAACTTCTTTCCTCCTCCTCCACCTCTCCCCCGCTTCCCATCTCCACCCCCCCTCTTTCTCTTGCCTTTCCCATCACAGGTAGCGGCAGGAGCAGAAGAGCGTCCACAAACGTAAACACGACGGTGAACATAATAATAACGAGACACGCGTCTCTCTTTTGTTGCAGCAAAAAGAATTCCCTGGTCCTGCGCACCCAGCTGTCCGTCCGGGTTCACACCATCATCGGTAAGTGACCGCGCTCCTGCGGCTGGACAGGCTGGAGCTGGAGGGAGTAGAAGGGGGGTGGGGGGTGGGGGGGATAAGCTTTCGTCTTGGCGACAAAACATTTTAGTTGGCATTTTTGCCCCGTGCTTGGGGGTGCCGTGTTTGGTAAGCTGCCAGCCGGCTGCAGTGTTTGTGTTTCGGTGTTGCAGAGAAGCTGGTTACCTCCGAGGGACGTGAGCTGCGCCGTGCCCTCTTTTCGCTCAAGCAGATATTCCAGGTAAGGGCAGCACGGTCTAACTCGCTGTTCATGAATAACACAACTTCATTCAGTTTCATTTAAAATTAAAAGTTCATAAGAAAATGAAAATAAAAATAAAATAAAGAGAAGATCTAAGAGGTCCCTGAGATGTGCGTTTTTCTAAACCGCATGATGGCTCACCACCACTCCTGGCTCTGACGCACCTCTCCCGTTCGTGTTGTTACAGGAGGACAAGGACCTGGTGCACGAGTTCGTCCAGAATGAAGGCCTGTCTTGCCTCGTCCAGGTCGGCTCTACCGCGGACCAGAAGTACCAGAATTACATTCTTCGAGGTGGGTCTATGGGGGCGCCTCCGCGCTCCGTGCGCCTCGCGCGCTGTGCGTTTGTGAGGGATTATGATGAGGTCGGAAGTGCGCTTTAATTCGATGCGGGGGGCGCGCAAAGGCATAGCCATAGCCATCACGGGCGGCCTGCCCGGCCAGCCCCGTCAGCATGGGCGCTCCGCGATCGAATCCCATCTGAGATCGACCGGTGCTAAATGGAGAGGAGGACTGAGGCCGCTATGCGCTGCTGCGCGCCGAGCTGGAGCAGGCTCTCTAAGACCTCATAATGGCGCCGAGCCTTGCCCGGCCGTGCTCTCTGTTCTGTTGCAATCAAAATGCTCTCCTCCACGGATCCAGTAAAAGGGAATCTAGTCCGTGGCTGGTAACGCGCACGCTAACGGGATCCCGGATGAGGTGAGGAGGTCGCCGGGTTAGTCCGAGCAACCCTTGATGCTGTTGTTGTTGTTGCAGCCCTGGGCCAGGTGATGCTGTACGTGGACGGCATGAACGGCGTGATGGGCCACCCCGCCACGCTCCAGTGGCTGTACTCGCTCATCGCCAGCCGCTTCCGGCTCGTGGTCAAGACGGCCCTCAAGCTGCTGCTCGTCTTCATCGAGTACACGGACGCCAACAGCCTGCTGCTCATCCGGGCCGTGCACGCCGTGGACGCGGCAGACGGTAAGCACGAGAGGGGATGAAGCAGTGGGGTCTGCCGAGCCGGACTGTCGCGACCTTGTCCCCCCCGGGACCGCAGCCCCTGCCGAGCTGGCCGCCAGGATGTCGCAACATAGTCCTGCCCCCACTGCGCCCTGCGCCCGCGGCCCATGGCCACTGCGGTCAGCGGCGGTCAGCAGCGGTCAGCTCTCCCAGCGGCGGGGCCCGGGCACTCTCCCTCTCTCTCTCCCTCCCTCTCCCAGGCCGAGGGGCCAGTTCAATTATTTGAAGCGGTCCTGGGCAGCACTTCTGAGTCTGACGACACCCCCGGCGGCGGCGCGCCGTTGGGGGCGTACCGCCGCGTATCGGTGATACTTTCACTCACGTCCGCGGTAATAGCTGGCGACCGCACCGCGGCCGCGCCGCCGCCGTGTATGGACGCCCAGTATGACGAGGGCGGTGATGACGTGCCTGCAGGTCTGACGCCGTGGTCGCGCATCCTGCGCCTGCTCATGGACTACGACGCGGCCGACACGGAGCTGCTCATCTACGCCATGACGCTAGTCAACAAGACGCTGGCCGGCGTGCCCGACCAGGACACGTACTACGACCAGGTGGACATGCTGGAGGAGCAGGGCATCGAGGGCGTCATCAGCAGGTGAGCAGCCCCAGCGTGCACGCGGTCCTCCGGGCCGCCCGGGCCGAGGCCTGGCCTGCCTGGGCGGCGCCCTGCTTTGCCTCCTCAGTAGTCACGACGGCCCCGGACGAGACGGCACATTATGCCGCCATAACCGACAGCACTGCGCGTTGCGCCAGTAACGTGCCGTGCTGTGCTGTCGGCGGTGGCGCTGCAGCGGGGCGCGCTCTGGACCAGCGCGCCGGGCCGGGCCGGGCGTGCACATGGGGCCCCGCACGAGATGGGGGTTTGGAGGTCATGGCCCACCCGATTCCGATGTCATGCTCGACCGGGCCGGCGGGGGGCTGCTGCATCGACTGCCATTCACAACGACACGCTCGTGCCCTGCAGGTACATGTCGCGCCAGGGCACGGACCTGGACCTCCTGCGCCAGCTGCAGATCTACGAGGGCGTGCTGCAGTTCGAGGACGGCGGCGACCGCGGCATGCCCCAGCCCCTCCGACAGCTCGACGACAATCTCAGGTCAGCATCTCGCCTTTTGTTCGCTCGCGGGGGGGTGAGTTGAGAGTTTGGCGAGCAGTTTGCGAAACGTGTTGCCCTCGCGCCCCGCGGGTCGGGGGTGGCGCGGGGCCCCGGCCGGGGCAGCACAGGACAGGTACCTACCTAGGTACCTATAGGTATCGGATTGGTGATGGATGATGATACAGTCGGGGCTGTGCGCAGACTGGGCTTGAGCTGTGCGGCGCCGCGCGCACGCAGACGCAGATCGCTATCGCCCAGGTGGTAAGGTGGTGGTATGGTTGCTTGGTATTCCGGGTTGCACGCCCCGGCCCGGTCCGTCCGCGTGCCGGGGCGTGCGGTGCGGTGGACGTTCGGGAAAGATCCCGGGGCGCTATGCCTGCAATAAATAAAACTGTCCATCACGCCGGTGGTGTGTGCCTACAGCGCTGCTGTCGGTCGAATCGTGTTTGCAACAATACGTAAACGAAATATGTGCATCAATAAGAAACGCTTTGGAATAGGCGGCACCTGACGCATGTATTTGATTTCTCGCTTTTAGAAAAACGTTACGAAATCGCAAATCGCTGACCTCCGACCTGGGCATGGGCGTGGACAGGCGTCGCTCGCGGCGTCACTCCACGGGCACCGTGCCGCCGCACCTGCGCCTGGCGGGCCCAGGGAGCGGCCCCGGCGGCGGCCCGGGTGGCGTGGATGGAGGTCGGCGAGAGGACGGCGAGGACTCCAGCAGCTCGCAGTCGTCGCAGGCCATGGACTCGATGCACCTCAACGGCAACTACAAGGAGTCGGGAGGTAAGGGTTACTCGCGAGCAGTGTGCTGCCTGACTTCCGTGTCGTTCTGCTGCGCGACTAATGACGATCCGCTGAGAGCTCAAGTGTTTTTAGTCTTTTGCCGGCTTGGCCGCTTGGCCATAACATCCGCTGCTTCTTCCCAAAAATGTGTGCCTCGGAAGCTAATCCCATCCGCTCGCTCGCTAGGCCTCGCAGTACAGGACGTCGGGGTCACGCCCGCCCTGCGGCGCCGCCGGGAGCGCGCCGAGCGCCAGCGCTGCTTCCAGCGCGAGCAGGCCGAGTACGGCGTCGGCGGCCGCCCCGTCCAGGGCGCGAGTTCCGACCCGGGGCCCGTCAGCCCGCCTCTGCTGGTGCAGCAGACGCCTCCGCCGCCACCACCGCCGCCACCCTTGCCCCCGGCGCCGCAGCCCCTGCTCGGCCTCAACCTGGACCTCCACCACCTCTCCGTGCCGGAAGAGGGTAACCGACTTCTGCAGCAGGGCCTGGCCCTCGGCTTGGCCGCTTCCAGAGTGTGGCGTTCACTACTAACCCCTCCCGAGCGCGACCGCATGAGCTGACCAGCCACCCTCTGTCCGCAGGACTGACCCCGGGGCTGGCGCAGCGCCTCGCCAACGGCACCTCCGGCATGCTGTGCTCCAGCCCGATCCTGGGCGTGGACTCTAACCTGCTCCGCGCCGCGGACCGCACCCCGCTCCTCAACGCCGTCAACCGCATGGACTCGAGGCACGACAACTCGTGGGCCTATGCCGCGGCGCCCGCGCACGCCGGACCGGACGACAACGGCGTCCTGGACGACAGCCTGGCCCGTCGGGAGAACACCGTCAAGGATCTCACTCAAAAATTGGCCAGTCAGAACATTCTCCAGAGTCCTGTAAGGATAGTCTATTACTGAACACACTTCTCAACCTCTCTCTCTTCTCCCTCAAATGTTGTCATCCTTCACCATTCCTTTCCTCAGGTCGACGAGAACAAGTCATTCATCAACGACATGTCGGGGATGGCGGGCATCATCTCCAAGGCCAAGGAGGGCCTGGCCAAAAGCAAATCCAAGCAGGACGTGACCCCGCAGGCGCCGCCCCCGCCGCCGTCTGCCCCGGCGCCCAAAATCAAGTCTGAGACGGAGCTGCATTGGGAGGAGCTCGTGTCGAACCTCAGCCGAACGCTCGAGTTGTGCGACCTGGACTTCACCGATCTGCATAGCGACGTGAGTGCACCGACAGACCAGATATGGTCGTAAGTCTTCACTCTATAGCACACCCGAGCACAAACCCAGACGCTGCTTGTGTCCCGCAGGACGAGGAGGACGTCCTCTGCCCCGCCGGCACCGCCAACGGCGTCCCCATGCCCCCGCCGCCCCCCGTCGCCATGAACCTGCTCGGGGACGCGCCGCCCCCGCCGCCCCCCACCAACGGCCGGGCCTCCATCAACGGGCCCACCGTCCTCGGCCCCCCGGTGTTCGGCGTCAGCCTGCAGATGCGCGGCAAACTGGGCACCAGCGCCACTGACGGGGGCAGCAATGTGCCGCCCCCGCCGCCCCCACCACCAAAGAAGAGCAAGAAGACCGTCAAGTTGTTCTGGAAAGAGGTGAGTGCGCAGTGTGCTGACGGGTCACTCCTGCCTGTCAGGTTGAATTATCGCGAAGACCTCGGGTGCCCAGAACATTACCACCGCCTCGTTAGCCCCGAAGCAGCTGTGGGGCCTAAGCGCCGCTCTGGGGTGGGGTATACACCGGCGATACTCTGTGACGCGGCCGCCGCCGATACCCCGAGCGCAGGCAGGCACCTGACTTCCCTCCTCTCTGTGTTGCCCTAGGTCCGGATCGACCCCGCGGCTCAGGTCAGAACGCAGTGCGCGCCCATGATCTGGGATGAGCTGCGACCCGTGGAAGTGGACACGCAGAAACTGGAGCACTTGTTCGAGTCGCGTGCCAAGGATCTCATCTCAAAGGTGATAAACCAATTATACAGTGCTCTATTGAATTAGATTTTCCAGAGGCTCAGGACAGCGGCTCCTCCTGCGAGTCATGGAACTAGTGGAACATTCACACTAAGGCTCGATAGGGTTCGGAGAGTCACCGGTCATCATCTGCAAACTACACATCACTTGTAAATCTTGTGTTATGGTTGGTGTCGGGGCAACACTTACACTAAAACTGCCATGATAACAAAGGATTATTTGAACATTGCATGTTAGGTAACAAACAGTACAGCACGCATGTCACTACAAAATAATCAAGCAATTCTTTACTCATTTCTTCTCTCTTTACTCTTCTCATGCTTTGGTGGCGTGAATAAAATGTTTTGTCAGTGGACGTTTTATGTAATGATGAAGTCAAATTCATTGTTTATTCAATCTTGCACACGTTCTAAAAGCTCAAATCAATCTGTTTGCTTCTATGTTGTCATTTCATCGCTTAAACTCTACACCGTGCTTAAACTTCACATGCTTCTTTTCATTGACTGCTGAACTTTCTTCATGGATTAGAGTTTTCCTCCTCTCTAAGTAATAATCTATCAGAGTAATTTTACTGATTTGAATTTTAATTTAATCCT